TTGTAAGTCAATCTTTTTTAATTCGATAGAGGAGAATAAGTATTATCGATTTTAGTTTGAGATTGTCTTATTTTTATACTAAATGAGGTTGTGACAAGTATAAATGCGTCAAGAATATTTTTTGTCTCGGTAACAGAAATCCTTTCTGAGGGTGCGAAAGCATTCTTTAGAGAATATCGACATGTAAGCTGTGAATAGCCACAGAAACTTGTCACGTGTGCGTACACACATACATTCCACGAATTATCCCCATTTCAATTGATGACAGATCCAAGTTCAATATCAACTACTGTATTTTAACGGTTTTCAGTGTAGAAAGTCCCCTATTATGAGAGAGGATCCTAATACGGGCCAGCGGGGATTTCTGTTAAACTAATAGGCATCATCAGTTGATTCCACCATGATTTTTGCGCTCGCCATTGCGTCATTTCCGCATTGCTTACGCGCGACAAATATTAACGATAAACGATGCACACGACTGCGGGCGATTTTCAGGGCTAAGAATTATTTTCTGCACCAGATACGAGAGCGTGATCGATAGCGCGTATGTCGCCTCCCCTTGTCCCTACACGCAGACCGCGGTTTTCGCATTTATGCGTGAATAGGCTCGTCCGATTAAGTTATCTGCTGCAATGATGAAGCATCACGAAATTGTCGCTTTTTCCGTTCATACGCGACGACGCCGTGCACCTCTTGAAAAAGAAAGTTGGTAAGAAATGTACCTTCTTCTATTATTCAATTGTACATTTTTATTTTATCACTGATAAAATCGCAGATAAAAAGCCACAAGATAAAAAGCGATGCGAAGAGATGCATGTTATCTAAGATTGTCACTAAAGAATTTTAGTAAATTCAGCTTTGAAGATATAAATTTATTATAAAATATTTGTTCCTCAATTTCAATCAGATATCATTTTCTTAGTAAAAGAAAGTGTTTGAGATTCATCCATGATTTAAGCACGTTTTATAAATGTTTAAAATTTTGCATTTTTACACAGGACCGAGAGAGAAAAGAAAAGAAAGAGTCAATGTCATTTTATTTATGTTATATTACGTTAACAAACAAAATCATGCGCTGCAAAGATATTAAAAATATTTTTATCATTAATAATGAATTCTCGAAGAATCCAGCTAATTTCTCGTCAAGGCTTTACAACATTCCGTGTCTACGTGGGGCAATTAATTACAATTTAGAAGTTAACGTACCGTTGGACAGCAAGGACGATCTCGGGAGGCAAACTTCCAATTGATTTCGCGACGCGCGGTTTATTGAAAGAAATACTTTTAAATTCTACTCGAGTGTTATTAAAAATCTTGTCCCAGTCCTTGAAGTAGAGAGTACGGACCAGATCTCAGCTTCGAAGACACCTGGTCGTCTCGCTTTTAAGTAATATTACTTTAAGTGATATTAACCTGTATATATCTTGCGCTTATCTCCCGATATTAATCTCCTTCTTTCTAATTCTCGGAGCATTTTGATGCAACGTCGTGTCTTGACATTAATTGATGTGCTATCGAAAAATACTTACTCTTTATTTGACAAAAATTACTAATGATCAGAAGACATGTCCGATTTGATGGATTCAAAGTTTATTATCCATTAATTTTTTTCCGTCTCTAGATCGTAAAAACGTGTGGCATTAAGATCGTTCGTTCCAATCGACAAGTTTATTGAAATATTAGTACGTCGTTGAAAAAAATAGCGAGTTTACTATTCATATAATAGCGAGTTTACCAATAGCGAGTTTTTACTAAATCACCGCCACTCAATCTTTGTAACCTTGGAAGACAAATAGGAAAAATATGATGAAATTTATTAAATTTATCGAAGTCTTGAAAACTTCTATAATTTATTTTACTTTTAACCGAGTTAAAACTCCCATAAAATTTGTCACATCGTCTATCGCATTTCTGTCGTCACGAACAAACGTAAAACTAATCTTGCGCGTGCATCTCGCGAAAGTCTGAACCCATAAAATTTTTTTGCTCGACATCGTAGCGTTAGTTTTTACGCTTTTGACGTCTGCGGGGGACACGCGTGTATCGATACGCCGAATTTTGCACCGCGAAACGAAAAATGTATCTAATCATCGACGAAGACCTGCGGCGCGTCTGCGCGACGTTTGCACCCCTTCCTAAACAGGGGAGAGCGCAGCCCTCTATATATTTCATGGGAGCACAAGACTCGGGGCACTCCACGCGTTTTTCACGACGTGTGCATTACGAGTCTGAGGGAACCGGCGGTCGATCAGGTTTTCCCTGGAGAACGAGTCCTCGGCATCCGTTGGTACCAGGCACCGTGTACTAAACGCGACGTAATGGCGCTTTCCGGCTCATCGATCGTGATCGTTTTCATCGGCGTGGCCGCTTACGCGGCGGCCGGACCCGTTCAGGTAAAGCACACCCTCCATTCACATATCACGGTCGTAACCTCAGCTATATTTTCCTTCTTCCTCCGCACCCTCGTCTCGCTGGAAAATAATCCTTTAACTGACCGTGAATACATCGTCTAATATTATAACGTACCGATACTATGGCATACGAAAGTAAATGTATAAATCTGTGTACATTTGAGTTTTGTAATAGCTGAGGAAAGAGATTCCCATTTTTTTAAATATGATTTTGTTAATCCTTGCTACATGGTCGAAACAGATCGAAACAGATATGTCTCCCTTTAGCACATCTAGGGATATAATTACTGCGTTGTCGCATTCAAAATCTTTCATTTTTCTCTCTGCAAAAGTCGCTTGCGTTTGTAATAAATATATGTATTAATTTTACAATAATAATAATAAATATAGGATATCCCAGACTTACCGTGACACCAGCTAATGTCAGACCCCTGAAATTATTTTCAGACGAAACTCGTAGTGCCAAAATGTCGAGGCTACAATAGTTTTTCAACGTGAGCTTGTTAGAGTTGACTAATTGTGTGGTATTCGTGCGCTCGGATACGTAGAATTGCATCGATTTCGAGAATTGCATTGAGGTTTTGAAAATACTTTCGTTACTGTGCGACGTGCTGTGTCCGGGCGTGCAAACTGCGGACAATTAAATTGATCACTTTAAAAACTATTGCAGCCTCGGTACTTCGGTCTCTGAATTTCTATCTCGAAATTAAGAGTCTGCCATTAACAGGTGTCACGATAAGTTTGAAATCCTAATGTAACTACAGTTATACGATAGTGAAATTCGACGATGCTTGCACATGCCGGATTAATGATTTATTAGTGAATTCGCGTCCTCCTCTGTCGCTACGATTTCGTGTTCCCACTGATTTGAGCGTCGAAAATTTCACCAGTTGAAAATTGTAATTGTAATCGGTATTTTAGATAATAAAGCTATCTTCTTTTTACACGCAAATATAGATCAGGTAAGAGTAATATTCGTTCACGTTTCAACGCTCAAAAGTTTGCACGAAATACTATAGTCATACTTTTGATGTACGCGTAGATGGATTTTCAAATTTCTGCGGCATCTTTCTATTTTGTACGAGAAAAATCCAATGAATGCGTGTGCGCATAACAAAGGGATCGAGCAATAACGTCGAAATAAAAATTTGTGCTCCTCTCGCGAGCAACGATGTGCAATATTGCAAAGTAAAAAGCTAAATGCACAGAGATCGGTACTGCAACGACCTTTACGCAAACAATTATTATGCCATACGCGCCACCGGTGCAAATTTCACGCAGAAATGCTTTTGCCTGCCATTTAGCCAAATGAAAAATTAGTAGCTTGAAATATCATCAAAGTAAACCTTCTATATAATAATTAAAAAAACATCTGGTTTTTGCAGCGTTTTGCGAATAAATATTTTTTTAACTCACGTTAAAAGTAAGTTGTTAAGTTTGGTGATTGAATTGAATATTGCAACGTGCGCTTGTACGTTTTAATTTGCAACAAGAATATGCAACAGGCGCGTATTCACCCTACCAACCATTACAATTCCAAATGACAAGGTGAACGGGCATTACGTCCAACAAACTGTTTATTTGTCAGTTTCGACAACTCCGCATTATGCGTAAAGAGCTTGAATTTCATTCAACCTTACACGTGCCATTGGTATGTAATTAATTTCGTTGAAACGTGTCTGTCACGCGTTAAAACGAACGTAATTGAGCGATAAAGTACAAGAGATTGCACTATGCTTTCAGTACGATCGAGCCAGCTGCCAAATTTGTTATTTATTAATGTCATTTTTTAAGTTACAAGATTAGTTTAAAAAAAATTTATTTTTAGACAAAGATAAATCAATATATATATGTTATTCAGCATTGAATCTTTACCGATTACGAGTGACGTTACTCATTAAGCAATTAAATTGATTATAACTGCAAAAGAGTGAAATAATTTCGTAAAATATATAATCGCTGTTTTTTCTCAAGACATTTTTTCTCAACGGTGCAATTTGGTAAAGCTGGCTTAAGTGCTATGGCAGCACACAATTTCCGGCGGCGAGTAGCGGCTGCGCAATCAAATTGAAAACTGCCAAGGAAAGCCGGAACCTTTTGCGAAAAAGTTCTTTGTACAGATAAGAGGAACGTTTTCAGCGCCCGCGGCATAATTACGCCTCCGCTTCGAAAATCTGTTCGAGAACGCTCTGGCTGCATATTAATCTCCCCCCGTTAAGTCTCCAAGGACTTTCGTCGGTTTGTTTGCCGTGCGCTTTACTCGCTAATCCACCGTGAGAAGGCAGAAGGGCGCGCGATACGTCTCGTTGCATTCGCAACTTGTTGCATCGGGCGGCGCGACGCGACGTTCCTCCGGAGTAAGCATCGTGCGTCGCCAAATAGTCTTCCCGTTCGCTATTCTCGTGCCGCGACCTTTCCGCTCTCGTCGATGCATTATCTCGACACGAGATCGCTCTCGATGGCTCTCAGCTGCTCCATGGCTTCCCGCCGGATGAGCCGTGAAGTCGCGTTACGCGACATATCGGAGTGGACTCCACTTTGCCATGTCACTTTGTACTCCCATAGATTAAAGCGAAGATCGACCTCAGCGTCTCTCGATAAAATGTCCTTGCCGGCCGGAGATTGTTAAACATGACGGAATTAATAAAGACGAGTCGTAAAGAAAGAGCGTGTAAATGCAACATTTAACTGTTTTGTCGTTGTACTTTTCTCCTATAAGAGGAAAGATTTCCCGATAACACAGGTGAGCGTTATGAACTCAAAAAGAATTTACCTTTTGCAATTCTTTATGAATTAGTGCAATCTGTTAAAAAAGAACTCAAAAAGATTCCTTTCCGGTAGTTCAAAAAGGATTCCATAGAAGTACATACCTTTTGACATCTTATGGAAGTAAATTAAACTTGTTCTCCGAATACAAAGAATTCCTTTTGTACCCGGAAAAGAATTCAGAATTTATGACATAAAAGCGAATTCTTCTTGATCTCTTAAAAGTGAGACGGAGAACGAGTAATTTCATACTTTGAGAATGGAAAAAGCATTCTTTTTGGATTCTCTGCGCTATCTGGGTTTTCTCTTTGTACAAAATACGAGAAAGAAGAAAAGAGAACCAAAATTATATATAATATTATACATAAATAACAGCGCGTTTCGTTACGTTGCCATACAATACATATTACCGTATCAGAGCTTCGAATAAAATATTTACAAAATTGATTTTAATGCTCTCCGTCCCTTCTATTCTTCTCACTGCGTGAAAGTAGCTTTTACCTCTACGTGTTATTTCATTTGCAAATCTTGTAACAAAAATCGTCTCCTTTATTTCCACACGGGGAGAATTTTCTCTTAAAATTTACCCTGAAAATCTGTGTAATATGACATGCGATGAGAGTTTTTCAAAATACCATATTGTCCCACGATTACACGATTTTTAGGGTAAATTTTAAGAGAAAATTCTCTCCGTGTACGACATTCATCTCGACTCATTGTCAGAGACAGAGCGTCCAGCCGGCGATGATTCCTGGAACGAAGGAACTTCTTATGATACGCTTTCTCCTGCATATTTTACGTCAGATGATACAATCGGCTGTCTCTAATACAAAAACTTGAAGCAAGTGAGTAGAGCGTACACGCGAGATTGTAATTTACAAGGACATTCGCGAGAGCCGGCTTCCAGCGGGGAGATGTTCGCGCGTGTGGCACTGCGATAGTCGAACGGGTTAAAGCTCGAACAACGTACAGGTATATGCGCGAAAAGTTTTCCCATGCATACTAATGATACCTGTGAGGCAGCTGCACACCCGAGATGACACAGTCGGAACCGCGTTGTAAAGAACAGCGATTGCATATACGCGTAGGTACGCACGAGGATATCGGTGTCCTCCGTAATTCCTGGCTCTCCTCGCGAATTTCACCCGACGATCTCGCGCCGCGCGCTATGTGCTTGACGTTAAACTGATGTATCGAAACATTGTTGTATCTTTCTCGTTTAATCTGCCATGTTGAATGGGAAAGAAACTGAGTTTTTGTTTCTAACTCTTATTACTAAGCGATGCATTGTTGAGCGCAGATCACACTCACAATTGCAAATACACCGATAAAAAAACATCTTAATAAAAAATATTACTTTACTCAAGAAAATTATTCATTAGCGTCTCTTAATAGCTTAATAAAATATGCATTTTTTAAATTTAAGTATTTATTACATGTTAAACAGTGGATAATTTTTAATTTAAAAAATTTTACTTTAATCCTATAAAATGTTTACTGCGATATATGTCTCGCGGCAAAGAAAATTGGATTTCTTATTTGACAAAAACAATGATTTCCTTTAATGAATAGTATTCTCTATCTCATGAAATCTTTATTTGAATGTAGAAAATGTAATAATGTTTTAAATTAATTTACTTAATATAATACACAGATTTGCAGAAATTTTATATTTTTATTTAAATAGAATAAATATTTACTTCAGTAAAAAAAAATATAATTTTAAGTGAATCTATTTACTCAGTTTAAAAAAATTGTTTGTCAGTGTAGCAAACGTTTTATCAATTTTAAATAAACCTATTGGTTTTAGGATGTATAGTTAATTTTTTAATTAAGAAGATAGTAATTATTATTTTTTGTAACAATTGTTATAATAGGTAAATACTTTGATACGCGCGCACAGGGATCTGGTAACTATATTTTCATCTGCAGAATTAACTATTAGGTACTGGAAAAGATTCGTGCGGAGTTTCAGATCACAATTCAAACATAATCAATCACTTTGGAATACGTTTGCACTTTTTCATGGGTTTGAACGTATATATTCAGCTTATTCGATAAAACCTGTTATACAATACGGCGTATGTCGTTGTTGGATATCGAGACGTAACCGATGGTCCGATGAGAAAATTTCTTTTTTAAAAAGAAAACATCGGACTATCGGCTGTCCCGGGTGTCCCGAATGCGATTTATTCTGTAACGATTTATTGTCTTCCTTAAACTGCTTAAACCATTTTTCTGTTGTCCTTTTGCTACAGAACCTTCTCCCTATACACTACTAATGCGTTTTGCTGCATTTGCTGCGTACTTCCGAGTTGAAACTCATATAGAGCATGAAAGGACAAATTTTTAACATTTCGCTATTCATCTTTAACTTCATTAAACAACGGAATATTGAACCAATTGAAAACTACGCATCTTGTGTACCAATGACATAAATGTAACTTTCCGCTTAACAACTTTCATTACTTACACTTGTGAATTACTGATTGAATTCGACTTCAGTTCATTACTAACAAGAAAAACGCATAAATTTTGTCCGATACCTAATAGAATTATATTATGTGAAAGAATTATATGATTAATTTAACAAACCGGCGATCTTTGTGTGATTTTAAAGGATTAATTAAAAAAATTATTATTTATTTTCCTTTACATTATTTATCTTCGTTCAGATCGTACAGTTTTAGTCTGAAATATTTTTGTCAGCCTCAGTTTTCGAAATATTTCATTACTTTGTTTTAGGTTCCACTTTACATTACCTACGTGTATAACATATGACGGTATTATATTTTATATGTGAAATATGTAGCTTTACACTCATGTTAGTAGAAAGAAATTTCTATTTTTCTCAATATTTCATGTTGTATCTCACTTTTAAAAATTTCACAAATCTTTCGCAATCACCGTAAATAAGATTATGTGCTGTTTAAAAAAAAATTATTTCCTCGTCGATTAATCGCTAATCATTTGTTTAAGATGCTTCGAAAATTCATTAACTTTGTCAACTTTGTCAACTATTAACTGTGACACTCCCCTGTTACTATAGTTTGCGCTGTTAGTAAGTATAATAATGGTGCGAAACGCGATTTCATCAAGGCACGATCGAAGCTGTCGTCAACCGTTGACGTCGGCGGCGCGCGGCGTTTGGTTTTAAGAGCAAAATGAAATCTCGCAAATTTTCCGTCCTTCGGCGTTTTGCAAAATTTTATTTCTCTTCCCTTTGCTTACCAACTCGGTACGTTACGGAAGACTGCAGCCGCTCCGGAAGGCCTTGAAGCGAAAAGCCCTGTCATAAAATTCGATTAAATCCCTAAAATGCGTCATTTTATCGAGGGGAAGAAGTATATGAATTGTTTATGTTTGACAGTGCGTAGCTTCCGGTTTTGTCGAATGTTCACCGACGATATTGCTAACAGGCTATAAGTTCCGAGAATGGAAGAACGCTTTTCGATCCGGAAAAACCGATTCGCCGAGTAAGTGGAAGATCTCCGATATGACGTCGACCTTAACCCTTGTAATTAGTCATGCGAGTGAAGTAAATGATATAATGACTAGCTGTAGTAACCGTAATGTATCGATCTGTAGTTTGTGGATGGTACATTCAGGGTCGGCCACGACGACCCTTAAAAGGTCTCTTTCTCACCAAGTCTCACAAAGGACGGTGTTGTTAAACGAAGCAATTATAAGCGAGAAGGTTATGAGTCTTAAAAAAAGATCTCTCCAGATCTCTCCACGAATTCTTTAAGTAAGAATTTCATTGATAAATTAATGCTTTACGATTTTAAAAAGAGGAGCTCCAACGAGTCTCAGACGTATTACATTTATTGACGTAATACCAATTACAATTTTCTTTCCATACGGAGCAAGGTAGTTTTGCGAGCACACGCAAAAGATGTGAAAGGAGAACAATATTATGTCTCGCTTATAAGAGCGGGAAAATAATGTGGAAGCCAAGGAGTTAGCATTCATTGAATAGACGGACAGGCATAATGCATTTTTCAATTTAGAAGCTACACAAATGGCTGTGTCGGGAACTTATAATGCACACCTGACGGACGAAGGAGAAAAACATCGCGCGTTAAATTCGATCCGTAATGTAAGGTCGAGTACCGTATGGCGAAGTTTTAATTAGCATAATGCAGCTCGCAACCTCGTGGTGGGCGCGATAAGTTGTCAGTGATAAGAACGACAAACATGTGCCGTCGTCACGGCCTTAACATGTGTGGTTCTTATACGCGTGTGTGATCTCAAGATCTGCATTGCACGCATTTGAAAGCTGATTTTATATTTTCTTCCTCTTGCTTTCGGTTACATGGCGATGTTCGCCTGATGTTGGATAGATGCAGCTGGAATGAATAATTAAAATTCCGCTGGGAATTAAAGAGTCCACTGTTATCGTTAGATTCAGATCTATACGTCGATTTGTTGTGTGAAAGATAAAACGCAAACTCACAATGTTCAAATGGAAGTAAGCCACGCGATGCGTTTTGCAAATTTAATAAGAGAAATAAATAAAAGTCTTTACGTTGCATCTAAAAATACAGTCCAGGTAAAAATTTATTAGAATTATTTATGGTTAAAAAGACTGGAGATTTTATAACAATTCCACCGATAATGATTAAGCAGATACATTTCCTTTTATTATTTAGATTTAAAACATTTGAAATTAAAAAATTTTTATGATTCTTTTCGTAAAGAAAAAACTCGAAATTACCATTTGATATCATATTTCTATCTCATGTGATATTTTTCTCTATTTCATTTAACTTTTTTTTTATAAATTAAGTGACAAGTAAAACGAAACTTGGAAAGCTATTTAACACGGTTAATGACGCGTAAGTTAATGATCATACGATATATAACGATCATAAAATATATCGATTTTTATTATATATAATAAGATATATAATTGCGAATCGATATAATTTACTATCGTTAGTTTACGTATCGTTAACCGCGTTACACTTTCAAAGCCCCATTTTACTTGTTACTTGTTAAATTTACTATTGAGGTCTCTTGTTATTTATCCAATTATTTAAAAAATGTCAAAGTTAAGTCATGCAGACTCTACCCCTCCACGCGTTAATATTTAACGAACATTGACATAGACGACGTGAAATATAGTAATTAGAGAATGACGTAGCCGAGGTACCTGTAGCTGTAACTTTGTTGACAGAGTAATAATAAGTAAACTGTGTATAAAAGCTTGTGGCCACAATTAAAAGTTTTTTTCGTTTACGGTTGCAGACCGCACCAAACACGTTGCAACAGAACGACTATGGGGGATTGCCGGATTTCTTGGCAAGATGGGACGATCGAAGTAAGTATTCGTCCAAAAAAGAGACAACTTACGTATGCTTGTTATATTATTGGAGCAGGAGAAAATGTCTGAAAAAGAAATTGCAGCAAAGATCAACTTTCAGATTGTAAACTAATTATGAAAACTAAACGCGAGAAATTATTACAAACGTTAAAACCAAACAAAATTTACTGCAGAGCGTGTGTACTCTGTGTACAATATAAAGATATAATTTCTTATTGCAGTAATATTTTATAATTAAACCATTTTGCATTATTTTGAAATTTTTTAATTATGTAGGGCATTAATTAGGGAAACAATATGTTATATATAATTATGTATAAAATGTATCCATATAAATTCTCTTCTTCTTGTAAAATTACAGTTAAACATGGACAAGTTTTTCTTCTTTAAAATAATGCAAAAAATATCTGTTTAATTCTTCTTTTTATTTTTTTATATACGTACGAAAAATTATACAAAAGAAAGAAAGCACATACATATGGGGACATAATTTAAATAAAATTATATATGAGAAATTTTTTTCTCATACTTTTATCTGTTTTTAATTTTTTTAAATATATGACAGAGATAGAAAGTAAATGGTAGATGATTTTTATAAGTAAATTACAAAATTCAAAATAAGGATACATGGCGATAACTGCAAACAATTGCATTTGTAATGCATTGTTAAATAACATTTGTACTATAATAGCGGTAAACCGGAATCGATTCGGTGTGAATGACTTCAATAAATTATATGTAATTGCATTATCGCGCTAGGAGATTACAGATGCGAGTAAAAAAAAACACGCACACCCTTACACACAGGTCGTTCTAGTTTATAGATCGTTTGTCGCCTGGGAATTTTTTGCAATTACGCGATTGACGCATTAAACAATTCGCCACTTCAACTTTTATCTTAAACACATACTAGCGCGCGTACGCATCGTCTAATTATAGAAGATGGTGTACTGTCGCAGAAGGAAAAAACGATTCGTGATCGATACCGTAACGAGGCTACTATACATAAGCTATAATCCTTTGCCCTTTGACGTATCACTTCTATGCTATCCGTTCTATCATCGGAATTGCATGTCAAGAGATTGGTCGGTTCTTGTACGCATACACCCTCGCAGTATTTATATTGTACACTTCAATTAATCACTTGTAGGAGTGTCAATCGATTATATTAACATATCGTCTGAAATTGTTTGCCGTCACGAAATTAAAATTAACTGAAAGTAATTGTGCCGTTAATTAATGTCAAGAGAAGAAATTAAATACACACATTGTTGCAGAAAGAAAATATATCAGAAAAGATAAACTTTCCTCAAAAGTGAAAAAGAAGTTTGCCGGATATTTTATTACAGATCAAATACAATCTAGACATTTCTTGATTATTGCGCGTTTTTAAACTTGGTACCACATTTCCCACGAAATATCTTTCTCCATTTACGAAAAAATTAAAAAATAGAACAGTACCGTGAAGTTAAAGTACAAAACATATTTATCTACAATTTTTAATTAATGTAGGAAATTAATAATCGACACAACTGGCAAATTCTAATTAAAGAAATTTATTACGAAAAATATTACCTCAGCCAGGGTTTGAACCTGGACCTCTCTACACTCTAGACGGGTGTCTCATCAATTCGACCACTGAGGCAATTTAAATAATTAGAGTTTGCCAGTTGCGTCGATTATCCATTTTCTACATTGCCATGGTTAATTATTTACTGGCGACAATAAGTCTTTATTCTTGTTACAATTTTTTTAATTGCTAATACTCAATTTGATGATTGATAGTTGATTTGATAATAATAATGCAGTAGAATGTGTAAAGTTAGATTTTTTTACAATGAGAATTTTATTTTATATTCGATAAAATATTCAATCATAAAATGCATCGCCTTGTAACACTAATAAGTTATTAACATTAAATAAGAGAATGGAACGTATATAGAACAGATTTGAGTGCACATACGTACACAAGAAACATTATCCTGATAGATAAAAAGCGTATAGAGCAGCATGGTTTACGACGTTTATTATGGTGTATCCTTCTGATTGCGTTTTATGGTTCGATTAAGGCATTACGATCGACGAGTCTAAGGTCATAAACTCGCCTCTGTAGAGCGCCCGTGCTTATCTGGAAGACGTAACAGTTAATTTGGCCGTTTGCAACAATTTGATTAGATTTCAACTTTAATCAACTTGAAAACGGTATAACTAAGAAATGTGCAGAATTTCAATACAATAATCACGTGCAATGTCCACGTCATTAATTTTTGACCATTGGCAAATGAAGTGAAATATTTTATGTGGGAAAAGCAATTTAGATACGAGCGTCTTTAAAAAGGTATTACCGCGTTACAGATGGGAAATTAAATATGTAGAATATCGATTTGTACGGATTGCTTTTTAAGAATTCCATTTTAATCAATTTTTCAGGATTACCGCACCCTGATACCTCTCACTTAATATCCTAATGTTTCCTTACCTGACTGAAGGCATGAAAGAAGACACAGTGTGGGGATCTAAATAATCAATCAAAGTTAATAATAAACTAACAGGAAATATCTCCAGGGTCGCCAGCAATAATTAACAAATTTGGTTGACCGTACCTGGTAATCTTGCCGGATAAGGTCAACTTTGTGTTAATAATAAAGCTACGTTTTCCACTGGACAATATTTAGGAATTTTATTAATATTTAATATATACTCGAGCCCGATAAAACAATGGAACATTTATACAACGTGAGCAGATGAATTTAAAAACTTTAATCAATTTTTTTTAATTATTATGTGACATTTTTCATGCAACGTTCCAATATCTGTACCTGAGAAGTAAAACTGTAATAACTACAAAATTATTAATTTTGAGGTTTTTATCTCAACTGTTCTAATTATTTATTTTACACTGGCAAATAATCGTATTTACGGAAAGAACAAAAGTTTGAAAAAAAATACTTTTAAAGAAACTTTAAAAAATATAATAAAAATCAATTTACATAAATACAAGTTAATTTTGGCTTTTCTGTGTAAATTTGTTAAATATCAGTTACGACAGTTGATTTTTCAGGTACAGATATATTTTTTACTCGACTGGGGGCACGTGTGTATCAAAATAACAAAAGAAAGTCGACAACAGAGTCACGTTTTCCATTGTACCATGTCGAGGAATTTTATTAATATTTGGTACATAATCGAAACCGCTAAAACAATGGAACATTTACAGCGTGGCTACACGTTACTGCTCCAAACTTAATAATTTGCGCAAACACGCATCATTTATTCACACTGTCACTTCAACCCTTTCGGCCCCTGTCTTTCTTGTACTTGCGTACACGCGTTTATCATTCATTGCGTATTTCCATATTAAATGTGCCATTAATTATTCAGTTGGAACACGTTCTGTGATTCTGGAATAATTGTTGTGCCGAACAAAAAAGTCGCATAGGCGGCCAAGTTTCAACCATACACTTGGGAAATTGCGGTCTTGCTTGCCCTCGTAATTTTCGCGAAAAAAAATGAGTGTAAAAAATTTTCTGGAAAAATTGTTGCGCGCGAAATGTTCAGGTACGCTGCGTGCGGGGCCCATAAAATCGTGCAACAGACACTAATGGAGGTAAGCGTGATAACAGTTTAGGTGTGAAAATCCGCTAATGTTCCGCATGGCATCGTTTTGCATGGTTTTATTGTGCCCATGAGCGCAGGCAAATCCTGCTGCGGTTTGTATCCATATTCCGACTGTCATTCCGCACGATAAAGTTCACCTCACGTAGTGTTTTCACGATTTCGATATCACGTATGAATTTTATATGCACGCATTGTCTTACAGTGTGTAATTAACAAATTATGGAAATTAATATATTTTTAAATGGTGATTGAAACACTGGTACTAAATGATTAGTACACAGAAAAACAAGAACATTCCTTTAGTTTCAAAGCGAAAAATCTTGAAATAAAATTGTATTATGTTAAACAAAGCAAACTTTCTTGAGTGAAGCCGTCTTATGCATATAGTTCAACCAAGAAAAATATATTCTTATCATGTAAAAAGAATTTTCTTGAATGAAAAGGAAACAATATTGAATAGAAGATAACACATTTTCAAATCGAATTATAGTAAATAGTAGTATAGTATTGAAAGTAGATTATACTATTAGTATTTAAATAATACAGTAATATTGTGAAAACTTAAGACTATTAAATATTTCTAAGAACACTAGTATTGAAAGTAGATTATACTATTAGTATTTAAATAATACAGTAATATTGTGAAAACTTAAGACTATTAAATATTTCTAAGAACACTATAGATTGTTTTGTATATACGAAACGTGTACAATTTTCTTATTGTTAGAAGATTTTATAATTTTATAAACGCATTAATTTCAGTAAGTTTTGAGGTGACACTTATTGTTTTCTGTGTATCCGACACGATTTTGCATGTATTTACTGTATAAACTATATTTTACTTCTTTGTTATATAGATTACGTTTTCTAGCACTCATCTAATAAAAATAGAAATTAAAATAAGATAAAAATATAATTAAAATCATTAGACGAGATAAAATAGTTTTTTAAGCAAAAGCTTATGATGCATGACATAGATAATCGCATGAATCATAATTGTAAATCGACATTGCGAATAAACGTAAAAGAAAGATTGAAACCACTAAAGCATGTATTGTAATTTCAATGAATTTAGATTTTGGTACAAAATGAAAATTAAATTCTCCATATTTATTGCACCCTATATGCTTACTATTAATTTATTCAGTTCAATGCAAATACAATATGAATATTTCGATTGTAATTAACAGCGTAATAAATATTCACCGAAATGATATCAGTTTTGTTCCTGGGTAGCAAGCCATAGTAATTTTTCTTTTTCATCATTGTAGGGATGAACCAAGGTACGAAGCGAAATTTGGATCAGATTGGCGGCGGACATCTCGTGAGGGATACTGACAAGCAATTTAGGAGTTTATCAAACGAAGAAGAGAGTCGCTTAATTCAATATTTAAATTCCACCAGTGACAAGCAAATACTGGACGCAATCCGTCGAGAGGAATATGCCGATCGATTTCGCAATGGAAATCTCATTAATTCTTTGATCAAATCCATAGCATTTGCAAATGTATTAAGTCGTCCATACAGGCCCGATTTAAATGTCGGTCAAGCAAATGACCAATTATTTATGGAAAAATTTATTAATCGCGATATTCAAAACAATGTACTAGAAGGTGATAGACGAATCGTTAAAAATCTAGATCAGATTGGCGGCGGGCATCTTGTAAGAAATCTGGACCAGATCGGTGGCGGGCATCTCGTAAGAAATCTAGATCAGATCGGTGGCGGACATCTCGTAAGAAATCTAGATCAGATCGGTGGCGGA